TTTTTGAAACAAGGTCTCACTTTGTATTCAGGCTGGCCCTGAACTCACTTTGTAGCCCAGGCTGGCCTCAAATTTGTGGTGATCCTCCTGCCTCTGCCTCCCGAGTGCTGAGTGCTGAGTGTGCCCATTTTGCCTTTACTTTTAATTAACAGTTTCACTGAATCTAAAATTCTTGGTTGACAAGTTTCTTTTTCCATAATTTTAAATGTTACTCCAGTGTTTTTTGGTGTTCACTGTTGAGTAAGAAAAATGTCATACACTATATTTTTGTTCCCTTTTGTATGATGTGGTTTCTTCTTTCAGGATTTTCTCTTTATCTGTAGCTTTGAGCAGTTGCACTAGGACGTATTTAAGTATGGTCTTTTGTTTTTGTATGTTTATATTCTCCTGAGAATTTGTTGAAATTCTTGGGTCTGTTAATATTCTTTACCAAACATGAGAGGTTTTCAATCATTTCTTTCATCCCATATTTGTTTCTACTTTTTTTTTTTCCTCTTCTCATCCTCTGGGATGCCAATTACACCTTTGCCTATTAGAGCATTTGATAACTGCCCCACAAATTTCTGAGGCTCAGCGCACCTCCAACCGGACTAGGCAATGACTTCATGGCTACGACACCAAAAGCCCAGGCATCAGGGCAAAAACAGACAAACAGGACTACCCCAAATTTAAACATTTTGGTGGATCAAAAAACACCTTCTTCAGGAACATCTGCAGGATTTTGCTGCTCCAGCTGAGCAGGATAAGAATAATCTAAGCTATTAGCCAGTTATTACCTGGCTGGTCATTTTCCAGTGCCTTTAAGTGGCGATGTTAATAATTATAGTTTTGTTCTTGTTTCCAATGAAGAAGAATTACCTGACATCTTCAGTTACTATCACAGGATAGATAGTGGTTTTTTTGGAGGCAGGGGGGTTGTTTTTATTTTTCTGAAATGGAGTCTTGTTATGTAGTTCAGGCTGGCCTTAAACTGTGTAGCCCAGGCTGGCCTCAAATTCATGGAAATCCACCTGCCTCAGCCTCCCAAGTGCTAAAATTACTGACATGCACCACCAAACTTGGCTCTGGGATGTATTAGTGAGGCTAAGCCCAAAAGGATCCTCTAAGACAAACTAGATGTGGATACATAACAAAGAGAATGGTCAAGGATGACTCTGAGGCTTTTCATCTGAGCAAACAGAAGAACAGAGTTATCGCCAAAATGAGAAGACTATGAGAAGAATAGATAAGTAAGGTCTGGAATTCAATTTTGGTATGTTACACTTGAGATATCTATTAGACATTCAAGTGGATACTATCATGGTGTTTGGGAGAATGATACCTTTATCGGTAGAATAAACCAGGCTCCCTCAAAAGCTCAGTTTGAATAAATCCTAGACAAGAAAGAAATGGTTCAGTAACACCTGTCATCAAAGTTCAGAGAAGAAAAAGCTCACTGAGCCATAGGATGAACAAAGAAAAAGGACTTGAAAGATGAGCTTAACTGTGAAAGAAGACCTCATGTAAAGAGACAAAGAAGGGAAAATAGAAGAGTAGGAGGAGAAAGGGAAGTGAAAAGTTTCTCTAAGAACTAGAATAGAAGATTGCAGAACAGCAGGCTTAGGCAAAATATGATAAAAACAAACCAACGCCCCTAACATCTGTATAGCATATATAAGTGACTACATGACTGATGATAACCAAAGAACAGATAAGAGCTGCACTAAAACAGAAGAGCAGGTTGTTAGGAGCAAATGAGAAGATAAATTTGAGGATACAATGAGTCTGAGATTCACTAAGAATCTGACTTCCAAGAGGAGATGCCAGGTGTAAGAAACAATGTAATTTTTTAGCAAAATGAAGCATATTAGATTTTTTTTTATTGGTAACTGATACTAAAATATAGATTAAAACATTACAAGAAACAGTTTATATCCATGATTTCATGTAACACCTTCACAATTCTTTGAAAACACACTAAAATCTGAGAGTGGGGTTCAGTGGAATTCAGATAAAATAAACATTGAAATATACTGTAAGAGTCAAAGAAATCTGATTGGGGGTTTGGCTCAGTGGTAGAACACTTGCCTACAATGTGCAAAGCCATGGGTTTGATCCCCAGTATTGCCAAAAACAAACAATCTAAAGTCAGTAAAAGATACATATCACTATAAGGACAAAATTTTAGCTGTGTTTTGGGGAATGATTTTCTTTGATGAGATAAAAAGGGAGACAGAAAATGTAACCCGGAAAGCAAAAAAATAAAGATCCTATCGTATATCTGCACAAACACTTGGGAGACAGGAAAGGAAGGAACTAAACAAATTCTAAAACCAAGGGTGGGGTGTGTGCCCACAGTCTGAACTACTCAGGAGGCTGAGGCAAAAAGATCACTACAGAACAGGCTATTGGGCCAGCCTGGGCAACACAGCAAGACTTGGTCAGAAGGAAGGCAAGGCAGAGGAGAAATAGAAAAGAAGGAAGGAAGGAATTAATTCTACTCTAGTGGACATGATACTACCTAGATCTAAATTGTTCATAATTGTTGCATCAAAAAGAGCCATTTGTTCAACACCTCACTTTTTTTTTAACCTGTATTTTCCCCTGAGGATTCTGATGACAATAAAATAAAAATACATGCAAAAAGGATTTAAAAAGAAGACGTATCAGGCAAATTGATGGCAAAATTAGTAATACACAAATCATAAGTACTTTAATTGCTATATATACTTATAAATCAAGTACATTTTCCGTGCTGCTTCTGTTCTTCTTATACTATAATCTAACAATTACAAATTTATTGATGGGAATAATAATTATTATACTTTACCTTTGCAGTCAAAAGAAGAGCTAAGAGAAGGGTTCCTATTACTAGCAAAAATATGATGAAAATGCTAATTATTTTATCTAACATCTTCTCCAACCAGATGATCATCTGCACAGAAATGAAAAAGAAAATTACTTATCCTTAAAGTATAACTTAATAAACACACACACACACAAAGAGTCAAATATAACAAACACAAAAAAGAATATTCAGCATTGCAAAGCAAATTGACATACTAATTAAAACAGTAAAAGCCATAAGCAACTTTAGAAAATTAACTAATAGTACTAACTATTGCTGTTATTTTGTGAAGAGTTTATTATTGTCATATCTACGGCAGTAAATTAGATGATATGTCTGAATTCTCATACTGTTCTCTACCTACAATTCAAATCATAATTCAAAACTCACTGAAAATTCTGTACAAAATAATGACTATCCAATAGTTGACCTAAGATGTCATGAAGTTGTACTCAGTTGGCAAATACAGATGACTTTGGAAGGAGTATGCTTCTTATAAATACAAGTGTGTTCTAAATTATACAGATTCGATTGGAGCAAATTAAAATATGTAGTAATTACACTGAAAATGTTTTACCTTTTGATTTCATTAGGGTTATAAAAGATAGTAATAATAAAAAATTTAATGTTTAGGTAATAATAGCAAATTCAGGATAATTGTTACCCAGGGAAGGACACAAGATGTCGGGAGGTAGATGTACAAGTGAGTAATTATTTAGGTAGTTTTATCACACCAGGGGATAGGCAAATAGGTGTTCTTTAAATTTTTTTAAATGTAAAATATTTCATAATAAAACTTTTGTAAAAGTTTGATATCTCACTTAAAGCTTCTACTCTTTTGAAAACATAAGTACCATGACATAGTTATAATTAAGCAAATGTAAATTTAAAAATTTGGTGGTTGTTCCTTAATAATTTAAATTATACTATTCCTACATGCTATGTGATATTCTATCCTGATTGTACCTTCCTTCACCTTTCATAATCACAAATAATCCTACATTTTAAACAATTTTGTTTTCAGAATATATAAGAATTCTGATTTCTATAATTCCTTCCATGCAAAGCATTTAGTATTTGAAGCTACATTTAATTAGATTAACAGTTGCTAAGACACCACATTGCATACATCAATACCAACATGAGTTACAGCACTGCAAAGTTATTCTTAATTTAAATCTAAATTATGCTCTCCAAGTAGTAAGCTAAACATCTAAGATCAAAGAATATTTGTTTTTAAAAACCACCATGAGGGGCGGGGATTTAGCTCAGTGGTTCCGCCACCTGCCCCACAAGTGCAAGGACCAGAGTTCATCCCCAGTATCAAAAGAAAAAAAAAAAAAAACCATCATGATTTCAAAAACATTTATTTTCCACTCAATGCTTATCAGTCTGTTGTCCCTCTTATCTTTCATGAACAACACTGTCACTAAGAAACCGATGGCACAGTAAACTCAGGGATAAGTTTATCTGTAATCCTGACAATTAGAACAAACTGAAGAGTTAATTTTCAGTACATGCTACCAAAGCATCAAAGACAATGAAGAGATTAAAGAAAGGAATAACAGGTTTCTAAGATATGGAAGGTCAAATATCTTATGAAGGTAGTTCTAAAATCAATGAAATGAAAATGTTCACAATAGGAAACCATCTAAACACCTGGTTTTGGAGAGTTCCTGAGGAAAGGGCTAATGTGGCATCACTCCTTTTTGTATCTCCAGAACCTAATTGTACTTGGCACATGGTAAGCATTCAATTAATAATATATATTTAAATAAGCAAACATAAAGGAATTTCAGAATTAAGACTAGACTTGTATCCACAAATAACAATTTCTGAAAATAACACAAGAGGTTATGGTTTGTTTTTGTAGTTGGCTTTAAGAAAGTCATATCCTAAAAGATATTTTTAAATGAAAATGATATTCTATTTACAAAGTATGTAGATCTAACTTTATCTGAGTAATTTTAATATATAAACACAGAATACCCAAAAGCATATTCTGCGCCTTAACAATAAAAAATGAAACTATATTCTTAAGCTCAGACAGAATTTTCCCAAATCCTATTTTGTCACTAATTATATATGACATACTTCCATAAGGTATTGGATGCCCTTCATCAATCTAACCTGCTGTATACCCAGGGGCTGTATACCAAGGGATAACAGTAAAAGTCACGTTTCATTAAAAATTAAAATCATTTGGGCCGAGGATTTAGCTCAGTGGTGCCACCGCCCGCCTCGCAAGTGCAAGGACCCGAGTTTGATCCCTGGTACCAAAAAAAAGGGGGGGCTGGGGATTTAGCTCAGTGGTGCTGCTGCCTGCCTCACAAGCGCAAGGTCCCAAGTTTGATCCCAGGTACCACACAAAAAACAAAACAAAAAAATTAAAATCATTTAAGATACTCAGCGCATATGCTAAAAAGCTGCTTGTTTTAACTCACATTGTGGGTAGCTAAAAAATAACCTGGGAACAGGGTGAGAAGGGAGACAATAAAAGAGAAAAAAAGAGTGGAAAAAAATCTATTCAAGAATAAAGAGGAATGAGAAGTGGTGCATCCTACACTTATAATCCAGCTCCTTAGGAGGTGGAGGCAAAAAGATCTCCAAGTGTGAGCCCAGCCTGGGCAATTTAGTGAGACCCTATGTCAAAACAAAATAAAAAGGGCTGGGGATACAGCTCAGTGTTAGAGCATTTGTCTAACATGCCCAAGATCCTGTGTTCAATTCTCAGAACCAAAAAACAAAAATCAAAAGAATAAAAAGGAACAGAGAAAGTCAAGAGAAGAAAAAAAAAAACTAGAAGGATACATAAAACTAAGGACCAATAAAGAAGCTAAAACAGAGAAAACTTAAGAAGAAGAACCAAACCTCTGAAAGAATGAATGTAACAATACCCACAAAGAAACAGAAACTCAGAAACATGGAGAGAGACATAGAGAAAGGGACCAGAGAAAAGAATTTCTCAAGAAATGCCAGAGATGTCACCCAGGAGGCTGTCCCATGTTCTTCTGCCTTGTGCAAGAAACCAAACCACTCAACACCACTACCTGGCTTGTGGAAACTGCACATGGTCTCTAGTAAATCCCCCAGTCTTTCCAGGCTGTGATCAATTAGTTTAAAAGGGAACAGGAGTAATGTTAAAACAACGTGCTAAAAGTTCCCAAAGTGTGGGCCAGAGATTTAGCTCTGTGGTTCCACTGCCTGCCTCCCAAGCACAAGGTCCCAAGTTCGATCCCCGGTACCAAGAAAAAAGTTCCCAATGTGAATGAAGGGCATGCATTTTTTTTAAAGTATAGAAATGTCAGTAAATTTATAATTGTAACCAAAGTCAGGATAAAACTTCTAATGTGAGTAGCTTTATTCATCAAGCTATTTAAAAACCATCATTCATTCAAGATGCATGTTAGGCACAGCGGTACTGCCTGTAATTCCAGCTACTTGGAAGGATGACACAGAAGGATTCCAAGTTCAAGGCCAGCCTAAACAACAAAGTAAGACCCCCATCTCAAAAAACAAAAAGAAAGTATCATTACCCTACTGAGTTTCTCTTCTAGTTTACTATTTTGGGCCTATAGTTTTTCATACTGCGTATTTTTTGTTTTGTTTTGTTTTTTGCAGAACTGGGGACCGAACTCAGGACCTTGCACTTGCAAGGCAGGTGAGCTAAATTTCCGGCCCATATTGCGTCATTTTTTAACCAAATTCTAGTTGAGTCTTAGTGTAGTCATGAATAAAATAAGGCCTGAGAAGGGTTATATTTCAATGAAACTTAAGAAGCATATTCTCACACCTTCTCTTCTTGTGATCGATTTCCTAATTCACGCCACTTAAATGTTTTACATAACCAATGTAAATTATCCAATGTTGTAATTTTTTTATCCTGGATTTAATGTAATAAAATAGTTCTCAACTTATTTCTATGTTTTCTTGGAACATACACTCAGAACTTCAAGCAGTTACTCCTACTCAACACCAATGTTTTATATATGCTTCACAAAATTATAAAGAAAAAAGTTATTTGATCTTTTAGGAATATTAAATTACCTCGACTATTAAGCTTTGAATTAGGCCCAAAAATTAGTTTATCTAACTAATTTAGAAGAGGAAAGGTGGACCAGACTGAACCTCCTTCCTCTCTTGAGGACAATTCCAATTCAACACACACAAATTGGGGAAATACACAAAATCATCTACTTTGATCGAAGTAAGAAAATGTGACTTATGTTTATACATCATTTGCCAAAGATTAAATTCATTTACTCATACTAGTCCTATAGGGATGGGAAGTATAGACAACCATGTGTATCTGGGATGGAGAAACAGTGTAGAGTGTTGGATTTTACACACTGCTTATTTTCAACTCAAAATTTTAATTTCAAGCATCTCCCATCTCCAAGTCTCCCCTTTCCACCATTTTAACAGAAAAAGAAAGAAGGCAGCCGGGGGGGGGGGGGGGAGTCCTAATCTCTACATTCAAAAGTATGATTCTGGCTGGGTGTGGTGGCACACACTTGTAATTCCAGCACTCAGGAGGCAGAGGAAGGAGGATTACTGCAAGTTCAAGGCCAGCCCGAACTACAGACTGAGACCCTGTCTCAAAAAAAAGCGTCTGATTCTGATTTATTTTCAAGAAGTACACCTCAGCCAGAATAGTGGTACACGCCTATAATCCTATCACTCTGGGAGGCTAAGACAGGAAGAACCCAAGTTTGAGCCCAGTCTGGGCAACTCAGCAAGACTTTGTTTCAAAATAAAAAATAAAAAGGGCCAGGGATATAAGTGCAAAGATCATCGCTTCTCGGCCTTAAGTGCAAAGATCCTGGATTCAGTTCCCAGCACACACACAAAAAAAGGTACCAGATCTTTCTGAAGGCCTGTTACATTTTCACTGAAGTCTTTTACATTTTTATTATATTGAAGTACAAAACATAAATGATGTCACCTTTTCTGTCCTAAGGATTTATGGACATTAATTCAAACACTACTACAGGTGGACTTTATGCCAAAGGTATAGCATTCCTAATGTACCTCGTTTGGCCTTCCTAAAGTTGTTTGAAATGTACCTACTACAATTCCATGCCAATTATGGAAGGCAGTTACCACAGACTTGGAAACACATGAAATTAGATATCACATGCATGGCTACAAACTTTCTTTAAGTTAAAAATAAAATTCTGCAATACACTTATTTTTAAAAAGCGAGATGCAAACAAAGGGAATTGCATAAATATTTCACGTTTCTCATTTTTTAAAAATTTCTGTTATTTATAGAAAAGGTAGCAAGAAAGAGCTCTCTCTTTCCAGCAATTATCACCTAATGTGCTTTCACACACCAAAGGAGATTATTAGCCTCCTTACAGACCTGAAAAGACATGGAAATAACTTACAGTAGACAGAAGGACTATGAGACAGAACTTTTCATGAACACGCAAGCTATTAGATTCCATTTGTATCCTAAAGAGCCTCTGTTGAGGTTTTGGCCAATTATACTGTGATGGTATTCGGTATTTGTATTTCACAACCTTCCATAGCTTATCATTAGAACTTTAAAAACAAAAGCTTAGTTTGACATATGGAAACGCACAATAAGAAGGGAGATCCTGGGGGCAAGGGAAGCAGGTTAGAGAATTCAGTAGTAAAAACCAAACATCCGTGTGCTCATTTACCTTCTTATTTAGCCAGTGCCAGAGCTTGAGGACAGGGGGTGAGAAAGAGAAGATAAGAACAGTGGAACATCATTAGAGAATGCAATAATAGTATGAAAAGAAAGAAAGTCACTGAGAGCATGAGAAGGAAACTGTCAGGAAAAACGGGGGAGAAAACCATAAAGCATTAACAAAATTTTAAAATCAAGATAATCTAGTACTTCTTTAAGATAAACAATGATTGAAATGATGATAACCACAAGCTTTTTTTGTAATCCAAAAAATTAAAAATATATAAAATAACCTGAATGTCTGCAATCTTAGTGTTTCCACCTTTCCCTGCCCCATCTCCCGATCTTCTAGCCACGCCTGCCTAATAAGCTCCTCCCTGAGCCTTGCTTGGGCACCACTTCCTCAACAAAATCCCCTTTACCACTCACTGCCTTATCCACCAGGGTCATTTCTTGCTTAGTGCTACCACTGTATCCCATATGTACTTTTCCTACATGAATTCTAACAGTTAACACTTATCCAGGGCTTACTGAGGACCAGGCACTAATGCAGGGATGCTACATACATTAACTCATTTAACTCACCATCACTCTATGAGGTAAGTGCCATTACACTCATTTTACTGATAAGGAAGCCAAGGCATAGAAAAGTTACAATACCTGTTCACAAGGAGGCTAGTAAGCAGCTGAACTAGTATCTGAAACCAGATCCTAACCACTAAGCCTTTGAGTTTTCATGAATTGCTGCCTGTCCACTAAATAGAGCTTCTTTACTTGGTTTTCTGTGATTCATCTGATTTTCGCATGGACTCAGCACAATATTTGACAAATAGGAATTACTCCAAAAATATTCACTGAACTGAGCTACTCCCTAGTTACAAAATTTTAGGCAAGTCACTTAACCTTTCTGGATTTCAATTTGGTCCTAATAAAAACAAGGAGTCAAAGTAAGTGTTCTATAAGATACTTTTCTCCCATTTTTAAGATGACAAACATGCAGTATTTATTTAAGCTGAATTCATTCTATCCTACGTGAATCATAATTCTAAACTTCACAATTTCATCATAAAATTAGATATTAAATGTATTATCAACAGACACAAAACAAACACTATTTACCATGGAATGGAATATTTCAAACCATGTAAACTGCAACTCAAGCTCTTAAAAATATGAAAACAAAACAAAAAAACCTACAATACCTTGCTGTCAACTTTTAATAAGAATTTCCCAAGCCCGATGATTGGCCATGGTGCTAAAGCCTCCTGCCGCTCCTTCAGGAAGCATTCGATGACCTGCCACCATACCTGGCAGCGTTTCTCCAGGAAGTCCACAACTCCAAAGTGAATAACAAGCTTTTTGATTATCCAGACTATAAAGAAGATAAAAAAAATATAGAGAGCTACATATCTACGGATCTAGAAATATAAAAAATACAGATTAGAAAGGCATACCATAAAAAGGTTCTAAATTTCCTCGCCACAATAGTAAAAATAGTATTAAAATAAAGAATAGTGTTACAAAGGGAGGGAGGGGAAGAGCCCAAGGTGCTCCAAACAGATGGAATTGGCCTAGTAACTTTTCCCGCAATGCTCACTACCCATGTACTATCTTCTCTGTGGAATCTGAATCCCTGGAGCAGGCAGGGATTGCTTTACAGCCCACATAAACATAAGATGCTCTTAGCATGGCGATTTCAGTGACTGCAAGGGCCCTCAAACCTTCCCCCTTCCTGAGTAAAGAAAACTAACTCCTGACATTTCCCCATCTCTTTGGTTGTTACAGCTGTTTTTCCCAAATTTTGTTCTTTTCCTTAGATGTCTGATATTTAATGGCCAAATGAGTGTAAGGTATTCTATTACACATCATGATTTGACAATACTTCAAGGCCACATTTTCAGCTGGTTCTCATTTCTTCACTTGATGTTGCTGTCGGTCTGAACAGGCAACTAGGGTTAAGCAGAGAAGCCAGCAAAGCACAACAGCGCTGCTTCAAGTGGCCGAGGCTGGTGCACTGCAAAACGTCAGTGGGGACCATATAAGACCACAGTGAAGATGTCTCGCCCTGGAGGTCGGCAGCTGTGGTGGCCCTTCAAGCAGGGCTTGAGAGTCTTATTAAAGACCACTGAGGAGGTGGAGGAGCCAGAGGAAGCATTTCTGATCTATTTGGAGTTTGGACTATGCTAACTGTTCCCATCCACTATCATATCCCTAACTCCAGGGATTTGTGTCCTTAGCCCTGAACTTATAACCTTCAGGTTTACCTCAGTTTACTATTTTTAACCATGAACTCAGTATTATATACCAGTTAAACAACTCATTCACTTTTAAATTCCTGAAAAAGCTCTTGTATTTTCTAGAATAAGACCATGGTATTAATGGAAAACCTTTCACGGTCCACCTTGTTCACAATCTGCCCGACCAAGGCTATGTCAAATTCCTTTGTTGACCAGTGGTTATGATAAGACTAGGAGAATCAGAACTCCCGCTAGCAAACTTGAAGGAAAAATGAGTTTGAACAGAAACCAGCACATGATCTGCCAGCATAAAAAAATCATCAGGCAAAACCAACCCAGAAGAATTTAAGCATTTCTATAAATTCCTTAACATAAGTATGGCCATAATATTTTCTGTGACTTGCTTAATTACATCTCTGTCTTGTTACAAGTGCCTATCAGAAGTTCTTTATTAGGACATAAGGGGCAGGTACAAACTTTGACCACGCACACTGTATGTTCCCTGAGGACAGGTACTCTGGTCAAAGTAAATGTTTAAAATAATGGCTATTTAATTAAATGGCCAATTCAATCAGACTAGTCAGTGGTGAAAACTAATGTTCTAGAGAGTAAACAGGCAAATAAGTTTAGACTTATTTGCTCACATGATAGAAAATACGTCTCCAAAGAAATTAAAGTATGTTTTAATTAATAATGAAAATTCCTGACACAGGCTTTAAGGACTAGTAAATTTAGGAGGTACATGGATGGCAGAATTCACAGCCTCCACTGAAGACCAGATATATTTGGCATAGACTAGAACGCAATATGAGGAAAGTACAAATAATCAGGAAAGTATTAAAAACAACTGCTTCTTGGAGCCGGGGATTTAGCTCAGTGGTTCCGCCACCTGCCTCACAAGCGCAAGGACCCAAGTTCAATCCCCGGTACCAAAAAACAAAAAAAACAACTGCTTCTGTAATGTACCAGAGTTAAAGAAAGCCCTCACTCTTGCCAGCCTTAGAAGACACCTTCTGCAAAACTCAACACAACAGAGGGGGCCTTAAATGGCCATGTTATAGTATTACGGTACAAAGAGCTGACTGAATGATTTATGGAAAATCAAATGATTCCCTTGATATCACACAGGTTCTACATATATGTTTGTATGCATGTGTGCATGTATGTAATTTGATTGTTCTGACAAAATTCAAGATTTTTCATATATATATCTCAAAGCCTACACTTCCTTTGGATTAAAAATACAATGTAAAAGGTGTTTCCCTAAGAGCAGCTCTCAAAATTGCATCATAAACCTCAAAACCCAGACCGTACTGAAAACATTCTCTACCACAGAATCATGGATGAGGGAGCAGTCAACTTTATGTGGAGCTATCAACCTCAAATCCACATGAAATTATAAGAGGCTAAATAACATTTTCAAGCTTAAAAGTAGATTCTTTCATTCTGTATTGGAGACTGAACCCACAGCCACCACATTGAGCTGTTTCTCTAGCCCTTTAGTATTTTTTATTTTGAGATAGTATCTTGCTAAGTTGCCCGAGTTTGGCTGGGCTCAAACTTGGGTGGGTTCCCTCTGCCTCAGCCTCCCAAAGTGCTAGGAATGCAGGCATGCTCTACCACACCCAGCTTAAAAGTAAGATTTTAAAGAATAACCAAAGTAGTAAAATTTCCAGAATGTTTGTCAGTAACTTAAATGTAAGCATACAATTTTTCTATTAAAAATGACGTAAATGGGCTGGGGATTTGGCTCAGTGGTGTCGCCACCTGCCTTGCAAGCGTAAGGTCCCAAGTTCGATCCCCGGTACCAAAAAAAAAAAAAAAAGATGTAAAATTCAAATATTAAAATCTGAAAGTAAAAATTTTTTTAAAAATCTTTGAAAACAAGATCCAAATTAAACCAGACAATGACCTCCAATCGGCACAGGCAGCAACTGCACAATCCACAGGTTCGACCAGATCTGTACAACAATGATGGCCCAGACGAGGGACACAAAGTAGATGTCGCTGGTTTTCTTCTTCCTCAGAAATGTTCCAATCTCAGGCCTTTGTCTGGCCAGGGTAGGTGAAGGGGAAGAAGGTGAGGAAGGGGAGGAGGATGAAGAAGTGGACAGTGTTGGAGAGGGTTCTTCTGTGGTTTCTGAAAAGGGAAAGAAAAACACACACACACACACACCATATCAGTCCACAGTAATACTTAGGAAACAGTAATACAGAGTGGCTGGTTAGGCTCCCCTACTTTAAGCCTTCAAAATGTACCCTGATAATAATGCATAGTATTACATTAGGTTAAAAGACAAAAATGTTTGTATCTGTTTACATATGCACTGAAAAATTTGTGGGTATATCACTGACAGGGCTTAAATCTAGAAAAATGAAGTTTGTGGGGATAGGGTTAGGAGACAGAATGATTCACTTTTACACTTTATACAGTTCAAGTTTTCTGTGACTAGTGTGTGTGTGTATATATATTTTTTTTTTAACAAAATAAGAGAAAAAGTAGCTAAGAATTACTAATTAGTCATAAAAATTATGCAAAATATATAAAGCAACAAATATATATACCAGAATTTCTATACTGAAGAACTCTTTATTTTTTCTGTTTTTGTGGTACTGGGTATCAAACGTAGGGCTTCATACATGCTAGACAAATACTCTACCATGAGCTACACCCCTAGCTTTCTTACTCTTTTAATAGAACTTTAGGTATATTTTTCTGAAACAACATGACTTTTCAGTGTCATTTCAACTAATGTAAGAGCAGCTGGTTATAAGAACCCAAGCCTTGGGCCGGGGATTTAGCTCAATGGTTCCGCTGCCTGCCTCACAAGCACAAGGTCCCGAGTTCAATCCCCTGTACCAAAAAAAGAAAAGAAGAAAAAAAAAAAACAACCCAAGGCTTTGAATCATATCTTTTGCTCCAAATAAGATATAAATGAACAATAGATTGGTGAGGTGAGGAATTTTCAAATAAAGGAAACCTTACTGGATTGTTTCACATAACGCACTGTTTCCTAATAATGCAACAATTTTGTTACATGTCACTACAGGGTTCTATCATTTCTACCCTCTAGTTTTGACACTACATACCACATGTATCAGAAACCATATAACGCTTAAGGCACTATTACTCTACATACACCTTGACAATGGAAATTTTTAAGATCCTAAAGCTTGCATTTTGCCTTCCATTCAAATAAAGTTAATTACAAAATTATACCATATTTCAGAAAGTCTAGAAAAAGGAGAAAAGGAATGAATACAAATAGTCCCAAGATGGAGAGTACTATTTGCCCCTGTCTTTTACATAGTTTCAGAGTTGTATCATGTTCTACTTAGCCTTTTTCACTTTCTCCCTCCAGAAGAAAGTCAGCTTGAGAGCCAAGGCAAAGACTTTGTCTTGGTCTCCTTCCAATGAATTCCTAGCACACAGAATGGTACCAAACACTAAACAGTTGTTGAATGAATGACTTTAATTTTCATAAGCAGCCCTACAGTAGCTCACTATGTGCTGTACCATAAATTCCTTAATGTTTCTTTTAATGTTAAACGTTTAGCTGTAAATTTTACTGCTGAGATACGACCTTGCATACTGGTAAGTCAGCTCATCGCACTAGAACTAACGTTCTATCCTGAGGTTTGAGAATAAAGGTCAAGCTAGTCATAATATGTTTTTTTGATTTTGCCGAGTATCTTTCTAATATGGAAACTCCACATCGGTGGCTGTGGCAGATATTTATAAAAATAACCCTATAACCTAAACATCATATTCTTTCCATTTTTGAAACATGATTCAATATGGAAGAAATATAAGTGCTTCTACTACTACTCCAATGTCTTTCTTCCTCCTAGATTATCCCCTCCTTTAAGACACATCTAAAGTCAATTTTTTAACAAGGGCTCTCTAGACTGGGGATTTAGCTCAGTGGCGCAGCTGCCTGCCTCGTAAGGCAAGGTCCTGAGTTCGATCCCCGGTACCAAAAAAAAAAAAGGGCTCTCTATAAATATTCTCTAACCCCAAATACCTCTGACACCAGTGGATATCTCAGCATAGTCCAAGATGGTCACTCACATTTCTTGAACTCTGTGAGAAGATGGTATGACTCTAACGTTGTTATAAAGGAGCCTGCAACTTCAAAAGCCAGGACACACAACACAACTAGCAGAGTCACTTTTATGGAAACAGTCAGTATATACAGTATGAGGCATGCAATCAAACTTTCAGAGGAAACAGGAGAAAGAACATCAGAGAAATGACCAAAAATGGGGGAAAAGGTAGCCCTTCCCCTGCAAAAGGAAGAGTAGAGAGTAAAAGAAAAAGCAACATGAAGAGACAAAAAAAAAAAACCAATAAAGGAGAGCCAACAGTTGTAGAAGAAATGGAAAATAAGAAACCAAGATAAGGAAAGCTTAAAATGGGAAGGAGACTGGAAAAGAAAAATAACACGAAAGTGAGAAAGAATAAAAGAATTTTTAAAGTATTCTTAAAAGAGGAAAGGGAAAGAACTAAGATAAGAACAAAGATGAGGGGAAAAGATATAAAAACAGTAATCGGAGAGAAAAAATGAAGGGCTGGCAAGACTAAGGAGCATTTTATGATGTTAACACCCTTCTTAATTCTCTAGTTTTTATAACTCATCTCCCAAACTAACTCTGAATGCATTCATGACATAGTCACCTGCAGGCTGAGTGGAGGTCTGATCTTCACTGCCTGACTCATATCCCGTGATGGAGATGGCCAAGTTCGCTAGAGTAGAAGCTGCCATGGAGATTACTTGCCCTGGTAATTCTGCCCCTATAAAAGAAGCACACATTTTTAAAACTTTTTAAAGCAAATGAACAGAGCAGAAGTACTGCACGATTGCAAATATAAACACAATCCTAAGCTTTCAACAACAATAGAATAAAAATGGTTATTTCTGACCACTGGACCAGTGCTTCTTCACTGAAGAAAAATGCTTGATAATCAGGAGGAAAGTCTGCCAAAAATATAAGTCCTTAGACTTTTTGTGGGTCTTTCTCATTTGAGAACTTAATGCTGCTGAGTGTGGTGGATACAAGATGTACAAATCTGAAGTGCTGGGCTTGTATTTTTTGACTTTACAAGTTGATTTTAATGTACACTTTTGTTGGGAATATTGAGAGCTCCCTGATTAAACTCTTACTCTGCTTTGTATCACTACGTTCTAGTTCAGCATGGAAAAGCCCACAGCTGGTGTTCGTGATTATAGCATGCCATTAATGAACATGCAAATGCTTAAAAACAGAGAAGAACATTATGACTCTGTTTCATGTTGTATGTTCCATGTTAAGTTCTAATAAGTAGTACCAAACGTAATCACTTGTGTTAGACTCAAGGAAAACATTTTCTGACAAATGAAGTTGATTTGGAATGGCCAGTCTTTGATCTGCTATAGCAGACAGGCAGACTAACTTACATGATACTAGGCCCCAATAGGTTTACTTGCACACTAGAGGCTGGAAAGCTGTATTTCATAGGCTCCCTTGCAGCACCAAGTCTCACATGTAACACAGTTTCTATCAACCAAGTACGCCTGAGCAAGGCTGGGATGACAGCGTGTCACAGTATAATTTGAAAGCCACACAGCTCCCACATCAATCATGGGGCATATGGTTTTTCTGTAGCAACTTGGAAGTTCCAGAGGCTCCAGAGGTGATTTCTAACTCACAGCAAGCAGCAGCAGTCATGACTCTCTGCCCAAATAATCCTTTGGTGTCACTGAGCATTTCTCCTAGTTGCACTGTTTCTGCCTGTACTGGAACCAAGCTTAGTTGTCTCATCTTTCCAACAACTGTATGTGCAAAATTTCTAAACGGTAACCAATACCTCATTGTTTACACCAGCTACACTAGATTTTACTGTTCACAACTTAAAAACCCTGGCCGGATTCCTAGTCACCAAACCATATACCCACATTCATACAGCTAGGACCTTACTTTTGGTACTCCAATACCTGGTATGACAACACACAATTCTGCCAAGCAAGTGAAAAGAGCCACAACACTTCAGAAAGGCAATGAATTTTAGCTCCAAATTAACTCTGCGTGCCCAAGAAATTCAAGGCTGGTCACCTATCAGAGATAAGCAAGCCATGAGGCTGGGGATTTAGCTCAGTGGCACAGTGCCCGCCTGGCAAGCACAAGGTTCTGAGTTCAATCCCTGGTACAAAAAAACCCCCAAAAACTTCAAAAACAAAAAACAACAACAACAGAGATAAGCAAGCCAGGACTTGAGAAAGCTCTTTGGTAGATGCAATTACTTGGATCAAGAGTACTCACCTAGCTCAAACATACTCTATCCCTCCTCCAAAAATGTTCTTGTGACCTGAAAGTTTATTGTGAGGCAATAGAAGAGAAATTCAAATTCACAGTCTGGGAAGAAAGCATAAGTTACATATCTGGATTGGAACTTTATTCTCCTGGCCTGTGTATCCAAGGGCCTTAGGAGATGTCAATAATGGGGCAAGGACTGAAAGAGGACAGTGTCTATCATGTTACATGTATTCATTACCCACAGTACTGCATGCTGGGGACAAAGATAAAGAGCCAGCCCTCTAGAGACTCATGAAAGAGACAAATATGAATTAAAGAACTACACAAAAAACATGTTAACAAACTATGATTCTCTAAAGGACTGGGTATTTTGTGAGGTCCTAAAAGAAGGAACCTCATTTAGTCTGGAGAATCAGTGAAAGTTTTTCCTTAGAAGTAAAAATGGGAGTTGATATAAATAAGGGGCAAGAAGGAATTAACCAAAAGATGTAAAATATAACCTCTGGGCAGAAGGAAGAAAGAATGGCTGTGAGAAAAGCTTGACATTGAAAAGTCACCATGTCTGGAATGAAGACAGTTGGTAACAAACTGATACCAAATAAACAGGGCTGAGAGGCAAGCCAGAGGATCCTGGGCACAGAAAGCCATATTACGGTCTTTAGTCTTTATCCAAAGAAGAGCAGGCAAGCACAGGAGTTTTAAACAAGATAGTTTAAATCTCCAGTTTAAAACCCCTTCCCCATGAAAATTCTATTGAGATAAATGGAGCTGCAGCTGTAAGAAAAAAATCCCTGTGTACCCTTTACCCAGTTTCTCCAACTGGTAACATCTTATAAAACTGTTGTACAATATCACAATCAGGATATCATCAGATACAAGATCCTGAACAGTGTCATTATTACAAGGATTCCTCTCATTGCCTTTTTATTATAATTGTATCACCTGCTTTCCATCAGTGCTCCATTTTGAGATGTAATAAGATTATTCTTACTTGTTTGAAGAAGAACATACCACAGGGGACCAAGAGTGAGTTTAGGGAGATAAGTTATCACACAACTACAGGTAAAACATGTCAACAGAGCGGTGTACAGTGGTTAACCAAAGATATAGAATAGTGGCTGGCCTCAAGAGATAGAGAGAAGCAAAACTGGAGCACATTCACTGATGAATCAATACAGGAAATTAGAAATGAAGGTGCCCAAGTGCTGCCAGATTATGCTTAGACAAATAACATGTAAGGGAACCAAGTGAAGATTTGGAGGACACTAAAGCTATGTTGAGACTTCCAGACAGAAGTTTCACAAACTGAATAGAGCAGAGACAGGGCGAGACTAGAGTCTCATTAGTGTGTGCAAAAGATTTCTTAGGTAGGCCCCACTCAAGGGCAAAAACTGGGAACAAGTAATGGCCTGGGACAACAGAAGAAAAAGAAAAAGGAAAAAAAAACCCTTAATAGTCGAAATTTAAGCCAGGCGTGGTGGCACATGCCTATAATCCCAGCACTGAGGGGCAGAGGCAGGAGGATCACCTTGAGTTTGTGAGTTCGAAACCAGCCTGAGCTATATAGTGAGTTCAAGGCTAGCCTGCACTATAAAGCGAGAACCCACCTCAAAAAAAACTAAAAAAAGTAAATTTTGAAAGACAAAAGTGACAGTCCCCCAAGTCGGAGACCCCGCCCCAGCCCCAGCCCCAGCCCCAGCAGACCCACTACCCACATCCTCAGGAGCACAGAGAAAACAAGAAGCCAGCAGCCACCCTGCTGCGCTCACCCTTGCCCTGTTTATCAGCCAGCCCCAGGCCCATCACCCATGGGACTCTAAAATTTTCCACCCTCTCAACTAGTGCCCCCTCCCCTATCTAAACTGCCCCACATCAACCACACACACCCTCCTCTCAGTGCCAATGGTCTTTTGCCCTTGGCCCATCTACACCCAAATGGCAATAAACTCATTGCATGTTGCTTAGACTTGGCCTGCCAAGGTGATCTCAATCATGTCTTGGTCTGACCTTATAAAAAGACTAGTCAATGTTCTAAATTATTAAATAGATCTCTTGACAAGCACTTAAATTTAAGTGGTGACTCACTTTTGAGGTAGCCTGAAAAGTGGTGGTTTTTAAGTAGCTGCAAAATAACAAAATCATTTTATTGCTCCACAAATATAGACTTTCAGTTTGGCTGCATTTTGACTTAATATAGCTAAACACCCATATGGTGACTAGTCCATATGCTGAGATAAGAGACTAAGATGCCAGCTTCAAGTTCAGTGTAATGGTAAAACAATCACAATTTGGTATGTAAGAGCTAATGTAAAGTAAGTGTAGAATGTAACCTGGAAGCTGAGGCAGAAGGATGGATCATTGTGAGTTCGAGCCCAGTATGGGCTACACAGTGAGCCTGTCTTTTAAAAAAATAAAACAATTAAAGTAAAACTAACTCTCCAATTCACTGATAACACTGAAATGTACAATAAATATTCAGTAACTCAGCTAAATCAAAGAACACTACACAGTATCATTCTAGTTAATATACATATGATTAGCAAACTTTTAGAATGCCTCAAACTTTACAAAAGCATGAAAAAAGTAGCAGAGAAAATCAAAGAAGATCTGAAAATTAGGATACAAGAAGACCTGGCAACTGCTTTTATCAAACCCACACACATTTGAAGGACTTTTTTCTTTGGGGTATCCTTCGGCACTTCAAAGGCCCCAAGGGTCTAGACAGAAGAATGCCAGGACCATAATTCTAGGCAAGGTCATGATAGTAAATTAAAAAGCCCCAGCTAAAAATAGGCATATAAATAAGCAAACATAATCTTGGGACTCAAGGACTAAAAACAAAAAAAGGAAAGAACACGTAGGGTTTCAAGTATCAATTTCCCCAGGGACAGGAGCAGTATGAAGTGGGGGATCTATTTAAATCCAAACAAGCAGGCCACTGAGCAGGACAAAAGCTCAAGAGTCCAACACACAGAAATGGATGATGCATTTAGATTACAACTAACTCAATAATGCACAGAGTGACTTTTTAATAATCATGGAAAACAAGTTTTGAAGCTAATCTAAATAAGGAAGTACTTCTTGTTCTACTCCATTCTTTTTCACAAGGACAGTGGTAGTTGCCAAAAACACATCTAAAGATGCTTGCTGGAAGAAGGTACTGCATACCAAGTTAAGCCTCCCCAGCTTGCAAAGTTCCCTTTTGAAGAAGGCTTCTGTTTCCAACACTAATGTGAAAAATAAATTTTCCTCACAATCCCTTCTAGCGTCACTTCAGGCAGGCCTGGATATGGACCAGAAGTTTCTCTAGGCCAACTTATCTAACTGAACCATAATTGGAGAATTATGAGAGGAGGACTAAGAAATTTAGTTTGCTCCTTTATTTTTACCAATTTGGGCTTAACTGAACCAAACTTGTGCATTCATATCACAAGCTATCCTAAATGATGAAGGCAGCTACCAGGGCTTCCCTGGACAGGTACTTCTGGTCATTTACAAACA